CATACTCACATTGCCCAAGGGGGGGAAGCATAGAGAAACTGTGAAGATGTTATGAGGAGGAGGGAAATCAGTGGAGACAGGGAAGGGGCTGATCTGAGACTCCTGTATGAAAGACTGCTCCACATTTGACTTCAGCATGTAGGACAGAAGGGGCCCTCATTCCATCCATGGGCTCAGGCTTCACCTAGTCATTTCAGGGCACCACCGGGAACCGTGGCTGGGAAGACAGCCCCAGCACCACTGCCTGCCCCTCATTCATAGATCACTGTGTTTTTTTCTTTTTCGTCTACTCTTCCCCCAGAACAGTTGGAAACACTGTCGGAAGATGCTGGAAAGAAAGATCTTCCCACACCAGAAGAAATGGGGGGTGATACAGGTATGTATGGGGAAGTGACATTGGCTAAGTTAGGTGATGTACTCATGCTCACGCAGGAAGTCTTTAGCTAAGCCAGGAAGTGACTCTAGGCCTCTTGAATCTGCATTCATTGACCTACCCAAAGACAATCATTGCTGCCCTACCTACCATCTCACATGGAGCACTGCAGGAAAGAGATAGTTAGTTCCTGACCTTCAAGCACAAAATTCTGCAGAGCTCGGCCATGGCAGAGGATCCAGTCAAGCTGGTTATCAGTGCCTACCCTAACACACTTTCATAGCACACATGGCTTATTCACTCTGCTTGTAGACTCCATTTCAGCTAAGTGCAATAGCTGAGTGATTACAAGGCTGGACTGGAAACTGGAAGGTGTTTTGCTGTACAAAATCAAATCCTGTCCACAGGAGAGGCCTGTTTCTTGAGGAAAGACTTTGGACTAAATGAACTTTGGAGACCCTTGCTTTATTCTTCTACATTAAGTGACAGCTCTCTTTCTCCACAGCAGCTGCTGCCAGCGCCCCTAGAAAATGGTCTTCCTTTTTTAAAAAGATACTGAGATTATACCTACATGTTAAATTGTTTTAGGAAAAATAGGTAAAATATAGAGTTAGGAAAAAATGTGGTCTGGTGGAGGCTGCTAATTGTACTTTGTGATCATTTGAAACTTCATTCTCATGTAGTGAAACTCAACAAAGAGGGCAGACAGACAAGGCAGACAGGAAGCCTACTCCACAGGGAGAAAGGCGGCTCCTTTTAGGATGCATCATTCAGGAATTAAGGTGCACTCCCTCCTGTGCCACAGGATGGGTGTTGGAGAGAGAGTTCAGGAGCTAGCCCAACCAGCAGGTAGTGCCACTAAGGGCCAGAGAACTTGAGATAACTTGAAGGTACCACCTAGCAAGGGTGGGGAGTTAAAGCCAGCAGATAATACCATTTGGAGATGGCAGCATTCTCCACCTGGAATCACAGGGTAATCAGAAGGCCGCTAGAATCACTGGTGTTGACACATCATTCTCAGCACCAGTAGAGAGAAGAATTTTCTGAGTCTCTAGCTACGGTGACTAGGATTTAACTCAAGCTCTCTGAGCAGAAGAGCAGCATGGCACAGCTGCCTGAGGGGAGCAAACACCCAGGACTGAGGACCAGTCTGTCTTTGCCTGGCAGCAGGGAGAGATGAAGGGAATATTCATGTCCCTGACCCCTGCCAGGCGTGGCTGGTGAACTCAGGCTGGTGGGGTGAGTGGAGAGGCAGGGTCAGTTGCAGCTAGGGTGGAGCAGGGCGGGGTTTGCAGCTGGCCAGGAGCGTGAGGTTGGTTTTCCACTGTTCCTCTCTTACTTACAGCCTCTAGCATTTAAGGTCTAGGTAGTTGTAATTAGAGGCTGTACCCCTATCCTGTGTCTGGCACTTGGTTTTATTACTTGGTCACTTGGGCACCTATACATATGCAGCAAGGCTGCTCCAACATACTGTAATTACAGCGTGCGGGAGCAGACTCGAGTCGGCTGGGGCATGATAAATACCATGCTCCAGCAGACTCCAGCGTCACATCTGTCAGCATCCCTGCACTGAAAAGTGGTGGTGGGGGCACTTTAACTAATGCTTTTTCAGTGAGCTGTAGTTAAATTGCCCCCATCGCCATTTTTTAACACAGGGACACTGATGCATGTGACGCTTTCAGAGCCACTCTAACTGAAGCACTGCATCCCCCACACTCCCAGAGCACGTGTATAAACACCCTTGGTTTTGTCACTTGCATTGCTGGGCAGCTCACACTCACTACATGGACTTGGACAGAACTGTCCCCTTTCTGGCCAGACTAGCCCGCCCATTGTCCAGGATGGGATTCTCTTGCACTGTTCTCACCAGCCTCTGGCATTGGGCACTGTCAGAGATGGGATACAGAATATGCTAGACCAGGGATTGTCAACTGGGGCTACACGTAACTCTGGGGGTACTTGGAAAGGGACTAGAGGGTACGGGCAGGCAGATGGGGATGGAGTGACACCCCCCACCACCCTATGCCACCACCTCCCAGGAATAGGGTTGGGGAGTAGGGAGGTGAGGGCAATGGCTCCCCTCTGTGAGCTGCACAGGCGCCGCATGGCTGACTGGATGTGGTGGGGCGGAGCGCACAGGCAGCGGCTCCAGAAGTGTACCCAGAAGGTGTACACTCCTTTAAAAAGGTTGAACCCCCTGTGCTAGACTATATGGTGAAGGGGCTGCTATGGGTAGGGGATGAGCCCAGCTGGGTGGGGAGGGTGGGGCAGATAGTGAGCTCATAGAGATGCCTTGGTAGAATATCAGGCATTCGGCCAGAGAGACCGTGACCTCATAGAGGGCTGACATCAGCCTGCAGGGCAAGTTCCAGAACCCCAGGCCAGGGGCTCAGACCTGAACAGACCTTCATGGTGGCAGGTCTCTCTGGCTGAAGCTGATACAGGTGAGGGAGAATCTGATTCCTATTTCTGGTCCCAGGGCCACGTCTTTTATCTGTCCATCCCTTCTGCCCCACAGGTGCCCCCCGCACCAGAAACTCTCAGGTTTCAGCCAAGTGGTGCAGTTGGGCCCCTCTCTCTGCCTGGTCCCCAATCCTTCCTTGTGGTTAGAGGTCAGGGTTCTGGCCCTTCTCAGTCACAGTCTGTAATTTAATATGGTAGTAACTTTGGAGTAAAAGCCAGTTGTGAGCTGTGCCAAATCTCAGCCAGTTCAGGCCCCCTGGAATAGTTGGCCTCAGGACAAAATACTCAGTTGTACCCTTTTGATGGGTGGGGAGCTTTGATCCCCATATTCCCCTGCAGCTCTGTCTGTCTCTCCAGCTGTCTGTCACTCTGACTTGGGTCCTGCTGCACTGAAAACAAAGGGGCTGCTCCAAGACTCAGCCACTGGAGATAAAGCGCACACTCCTGCATCCCCCACCACTCCTCTGACTCCCACAGGGGGCCTTTCCTCCCTGCTCTAATTCTCTCTTCCCTTCTCTTCCTGCCTCTTCCCTATTCCTACACCTGAATAGGATCCGGGGGAGGCAGTAAAAGACTGGGATTCTCCTCAGGTTCCTTCCAGGGAGGGCTCAGGTGGGTGGCAGAGACTCAGGGTCAGGAAGGAGAAGGGTGGGGCAGGAGGAGGAGGGGAGTTTGAGGACATCAAGCATAGGGCTAGGGACTCTGTGTCTCTGCCTGATAAAGGCAGTGCAAGTGGGGAGGGCGGGACTTTTGGGGGTGTCTTTTATTAGAACAGGTATAAAATTTGGGAGCCATGTTAGACAAGGGCACAGAAAAAGGGTACCTGGTACCCAAAAATTTCTCTAACTGAGCAAAAAAACTGACTGGGTCTGGGAGAAAAATGTGACAAAAAAATTAGAAACTGAAGTGGGGAATTCTTTCCCACCTGTACGGTGGTCCAAGAAAAGATGTCCCTAAAATCACCTTGATCCTTGCATATTGACCAGATCATTATGACTATGACAATACTCCAACCCTACTGGGAGGAAGGATATGGCTTTTATTCAAATGAGACAGATATAGCCAATCATGGGACAGAGCATTTGATGCTAGGAGACAATGGCCAGGTGGTTGCTTAGCACAAGGTGATTGTAATCCAATTACATTACATACTGCCAAAGAGAGGAGAGAGTAAACCTATAATTATATGGCCATGGCATCACATCACATGATCATTGTTTCTAATCATCTAATCCCTCCAAGTTGAAGATAATGAGGAATACAACTGATAGGAGCAAAACATTACAAAAAAATACAAATGGAAGTGGAGAATCCTAGGGGAATAGTTCATCACCTTGTCAAAGAGCCATGACTCCACAAAGAGAAATCAATATTGTCTCTAAGCCCCACTGCATTCAGCAAGAAAGGGAAGGCAGCAAATAAGGACCAAGCAGCAGTACATGGCAAGGAGAAAAGGGGGCCATAAATGGCACTTGATAGAAATTAGGAGTGGGTTCTGCCATCTGAGTTGACTTCAGGAACTGACAGCAACAATGGGTTGTCCACCTCTCTGTCTACCAGACTAGAGCGAGAGGGGAAGAGAGGGGTGGGGGAGTGCACTTTACAAGTAAGGCTCACAGAAATGTGCTGACAGTTCAAGAGTGGGAAGACTCATGGATATTCAGGTCTATCCCAGGATCTGGACAGGGGTGCACTCAAGTGACCCCAGGGCCCTGTGCCCTTCCCCTGCTTTTGGGTCCCTCCAACTTGGAGTTCCATTTTTCCTCATTCTTGGATCCTTGCCAAGCATCCAAGCACTCAGTTGGATATCTAACATCCCCCTGCAAGGCCTTAATATAAAATGCATGGAGAAGGTGACCTCAAACATCTCATAAAAAAGAGAGATGTGGAGCATGGTCCCCTTCCTGGCTCATAAGGGAAAGGTGCATCCTTCCACTCTCACAGTGTTTTTGAAAAGACAGGATGTGGCCTGTGTTAATTCATCAGCAATACACTCCACTGAAACATTTTGCAAACCTTCAAGCTATAGCTCACAAATGGTATTAACAACTTCTTGGAATCTGTTAAAAAATGCTACAATCGCTTTAGCAAAAAGAAACCCAGGTAAAGGAGGGGGTGAAGCAGAAATTGATTGCAGCAGAAGTGATATTAACCAACCGTTTACATGTTTCTCAGTAGATTTAGCCAGGGGTTACACGAATTACAAACAACTCAAAACTTCTTAGAAGAAAAATATCAGATGGATGGACAGCAAAAACGACAGAACAAAAACAAACAACATATGCTTCATGAAGCAATGAAGGTTAGAAACAAAGCCACAGTATAATTTATACTATAAATTATACTGTGGCTTTGTTTCTAACCTTCATTGCTAGAGTCAATGGTAGTTGAAGCATATGCTTCATGAAGCATATGTTGTTTGTTTTTATATTAGCATTGCTAATATATATTAGCAAGGTAATTGGTAAATGGCTAGAGTCAATGGTAGCCCATGGATTTGCTGGCAATTCTATTTCAAATTTCCTAAAGAAGATGATGGCAGCCCCAATCTAACAACATGCACATGCTTTATTTCAAGAATGTCTGGGATCCCAGGGAGCTCAGTAGGACTGCTCCCAAGATTGTTTCTTAGCAAGTTGCATCAATGTTTGCAGGATCAGAGTACAGCACAGAAGGAAAGTTGACCCTGTTGGTTTTTAAATTTGATGAGCAGAGCTCTATAATGCTTGAAGGTCCTGATCTCCAGGTATTGTCTCCACTGTTGTCTCTGTCTTTTCACCGTCTTTCCATTAAAATGGTTATGTACCTCAGGCAGACCTCTGGCTACACAAAAGTCAACATAAGAACTTCCATTTAATTCAGTAGGGCCAAGGGTTTTACCTTTACTCACCCCCAGAGTTGGGTTTTTATAACAGTCTGGGACACAGACTCCTAGACCTGCAAGCAGTTGGCACTCAACATTTAGGACTATCCTGGAATGTATTATTTTTCATGTCAGGTAATCAGCAGCCTAGATTTGTGCCAATTGCTAATAAAGGCACAAACAACAAAAGATCATCCTCTCAGGTAAGAAGTCAAGGCATGGGGAGATGTCACAAGTGGAAGCTGATGATGTCAAAACTGAAAGATAAAGTGCACCCTGCCATGATGTGTAATGTGCAGGAGTCACCAAATGCCATTGTTCCGACACAATGCGCTGTATTGTGATTGGTTGTGTGACACATACTCTTTTCTTAACACCAAGGGAAACAACAGAGTGACAAAACTATAAAAGGCACTACAGCCTGGTGGCCACAGACTTGTAGAAAGTAGCTTTGACCCAGTTCTGCTATGTGTAAAATGGGGGGAAAACTCTTTACCTCCTGCACTAGGGGGGAGGGTGTTAATTAGCAAAAGGCTGCACAGTCCTTGAAAAACATAAAATCTTCATAAAAGATGGAAAAAATATCTGCAAATTAATTGATTTTTTTCCATAAGGAGAAGTGAGCTAGTTGAGAAGTGCTTTCTCAGGGAGGCGGGGAGACAGGGGGGAGGGTTAGAGACCATCCCAATGCCAGGCCTCAGCACCTGTTCAAATATGGAACATGAAGTGAGATTTCCTGTCATTTTGCACTCAGCATGTGGCAGTCTCTGGACACAGGGCCCGTTCCACAGCATGTGTCCAGAGGTGTATCCGACTCCTAGCCCCCCGGCACTTGTAACAGGGTAACCTGGCAAAATTAGGTCATCTCTAGGCTCATGTGGGGGAATCCTGGCCTGCTGAAATCAGTAACAAACCTCCCCTGGGCTTCAAGATGATCACAGTTTTCTTCCATGGTCTTCAGACTGCATGTCGGCCCTTCAGAAACA